ACGTGATGTTTAGATTTGTGTACAAGGAATTTTAGGTGTATCTTGTAATTGTATTCTTTGTTGCGGTTGCACCCAAATCAAGAGCCGAATGGTTCACAGGGTAAATCCTAATAAATTAAACTGAAACTGAAAACTGAAACCCAGAGTAAAATCGACGCGATCACGGTGAGCGAGAGAGCGAGAGAGACACGCAAACTCCAAATATAGCAGCAGCAGGCGTCAGAGTCGAGGTTCGAGCCCACGACCTCCTGTAGACCAGGCGAGGTAGTCAACATCTCCTAGCCACCGTGACGCCGAGCGCACGATGCCGTCACGTGGGCCAGACTCCTACGTGTGACGTCACGGGGTCTTGAACGTCCCATACCACGGATGAATGCGCCAGCGCAGTATTAACCAGGCCGCCCACTGGACTCGAACCGCGAATCCCTGTAACAAGCGCCGAACGAAATCTTGACTTCAAGCTTTCGTGACTGCAGGAATTAGTATTCTTTCGGTAAAGTCAAGTAGATAGGGTCAAAGATGACGACCGCTTGTGTTGCGATCGAAACGTCGTAGTTTTTGTTGTTATTTTCTTTGAACCTATCTACGTGACTTTAACGAAAGCCCCAAAGAATAAGCGTCGAACGCGCTACCGCTGAGCCAGATGATGGCTCGGCTCATCATCTCGTTGGCGTAAGAGGGGTGGGCAGGGGGAGGGGAATGATTACGTGCCACTTTGTGAAAACCAAATCCACTGCACGCGCACACACACACGTATGAGTCATCTGCATGTAGGCGTCTGATAAAGATCAACGCGGCGGATGACGCTGATGATGATGCTGCTGATGATGATGATGCTGCTGACGATGATGCCCTTGCTCCATCAGCGGCGTGGTGCCAGTGGGAAACTGCGCAGAGTGCGCGGTCGTGGTGAGTTGTGGAATGAGCAAAGCGGACGGGCCTTGATGAGCAATCATCCTGCGCGTCATCAGCGCCATCATCTATCAGCAGCAGTGGCATCAGCAACAAGAATAATCAGCAGCAGCATAATCGCCTGGATCATCGTTGGTATAATAATAATGAGAACCTCTACCATCAATATCATCACAGCATTATCATCACCAACAGCAAGATTCAATATAATCTGCATTTTCATCAGCAGCATTATCATCATCAGCATTACCATCAGCATTTATCGTCGTCATCATCAGCAGCAGCAGTGTCATGAGCATCACCATCATCATCAGCGAGAATCATTACCAGCGATATCGTCATCACCAACAAGAATCAGCATTAATTCTAGATTTGAAGCTTTCGTGACTGCAAGGATTCATACTCTTTGTTTTTTTTTCGGTAAAGTCACGTAGGTAAAAAAAAATCAAATACAATAAATGAAAATGTGATTTAATTTAATTTAGTTGTTTTCATTTATTTATTGTATTTTTTACCTACGTTACTTTACCGGAAAAAACAAAGAGTAAGAATCAGCATGATCATGCTCAGCAGAATGATCATCACGGAGTGAGTGGCGCTCGCAAGCAAGCCTCGTCTCTCGGCCCTGGGGGGGGGGGGGAGGCATGTCCCCTCCCCCTCCCCACCTCTTCACGCTGGGTCAGGGGGTAGGGAGGGGTGATTGGCCGGACCCTGCCAACCTCATCCACTCGCGGGGTCTATTTACGGTGGCCCACGCTCTTGAATCGGCCCGGCAGAAGTCGGGGTGGTGGAACAAAAATAATTAAAATAAGGTGGTGGCGCGTCACGACGTGGAAGCCACGTCCGCGGGGAGGGCAGCTATACTGGGCGTGGTGTGCCGAGTTATGAGCTTCCCTGTGGAGGACTGCCCCTGTAAACCGTCCTACACAGACTGTGGGGGCAAGTGCGGTTAGCGAGTTTCAACACCTAATGAAGGCCGGATCGGTGTTGTGATCAGCACCACGCCCGGCCGCATTTGTCTCCCCAGTGCACCACATTTACACAGCGCACCAGGTATTTAAGTCTGAGTCGACCTAGGGGAGAACACGCGCGCGCGCGCACTTGGGGGGCGGGGCTGCGTTTCGAAACAATGACCTCCTCCTCCCCCCTCTCTCTCTCGCTCTCTCTCTCCCGTGACTCACTCTCAGCCACGTGTGGGGTCAAACACTCTTGACGACTTTTGTTTTACGCAATCATCTGTGGCGCAGCAAAGCAAGCGGTGAGCGCCACAGCGCTGCGAACCCGGCGACCCGAGTTCCAATCCTCGGCTCACATCAGTGGCGCCTGATATAAAAAAAAAGCATCGGAGAACCTGGGCTGGCATTGCCCTACCCCCCACCTCTCCCACACACCTCCCCGCACTGCGCAAGCCTCGCTGCCGACGAGGCACTGACTGTCGAAACCGGCCCAGGGTTTTTTGTTCTTGCATGCTGAAATTGCACACTCCCAGAAGGGCAGTGCGGCTGATGGGATGTGTGAAAAATACTTTGTTTTATACATCAGATGTCGAGAGACAGATATGGGAAGGGTTTGCCTGCTTGTTTGCAACCAGCACGGAACGGCGTGGTGAAGTAAGGTAAAGGCGCAACCCTGCAACTGCTCGTTCACGCTGCTGTTGACGGAAGTGGCCTCCACGCGAGAGAGCCCTGGGTGGGCGTTTGGCCTACTCTTCCACGCTCGGTCGGACCGTGGAGACAGCGCGGTCTTCTGCGGGAGACTTGTCAACAGGTTGAACCGCGTGTCTGTTGCCCTCGGATTTAACGGGAAAGTGCACAGATCTGGCACAGGTCTGGCACTGATTCGGCACAGATTTGGCACTGATGACGAGGAGAGATTAGGACATCTTCAGGGGCTGGTCAACGTGCTCGTCGGCTACGCCAAGCTCGCCATGTACAGGGCGAGGAAGGTGGCCCTGGAGGGGAAACATCTGGCCAGCAGCCTGGGCATCTTCCGCGCTCTGGTCGGTGCCCCAGGGTGTGTGGGCTGGAGTTCCGCCATGTGGCGCGGCTGACCCACGCCGTGTCGGCCTTCAAGGAGCAGTGGGCGCTGGAGGAGGCCGTGTGCTCGGTGGCAGATGACGGAGAGCTCTGCATGCAGATATGAGCTACCCGTCGGAGGCCGTAGGACTTGTCGTAGTAAAAAAAACTTACATAGAAAACAGGGGGACATAGACATGGAGTAGGGAGAGAGGGGGTAGAGAGAGAGGGGGGGTAGAGAGAGGGGGTAGAGAGAGAGAGGGGGTAGAGAGAGGGGGCAGAGAGAGAGGGAAGGGGTAAGAAGGAGGAGAGCAGAGCATAAAATATTTTGTGAAATCTTTCATTTAAACAGGGGGGGGGGGGGTTACATAAAGCAAAGCATTGAAACAAAACTAAAAAAACCGAAATGATGAACGAAGCAAAGTGCCAACTACACCGAGCATCTTCTTGTTTCCTCTGATCGTAAAAAAAGAGAGGAAGGGGAGACGGGGTCGTGAGTGAGTGAGAGGGAGGGAGGAGTGAGGGAGGAGTGAGAGGGGGGTGTGAGGCAGAAGACACGGGGGAGTGAGAGAGGGGTGGGTGGGTGAGAGATGGGGGGGGGAGATGGGGTAGGGAATGGTTTAGGCGAAACCTGGAAAGGGCCTCATCCAGCAGTGGATTGACAAATGAGCTGTCACACATGTTCACACATGAGAAAGGGGGGGGGGGGGCAGAAAGTCAACGAGATACACAAGCGGGTGGAGAGAGGGCGAGATGGGGGGGGGGGGACGTTTAAATGAGACACATGTGAGAGATGTGGAGAGAGATGTGGAGAGAGGGGGTGTGGAGAGGCTGAGAATCACTGCGAATCGACCCACATGGCGTGGAGAGGTCTCATCCAGCAGTGGATTATTGCAAACGTGCAGAGTGCTACACACACAGGGGGGGGGGGGGGGGTTCCATGAGACGCATCAGAGAAGGAAAAGCATATAGATGATGATGTCGTTGTGGGAGTGATGGAGATATGTATAATTTAGAGGCCATCATCCAGCAGTGGAGTGACTCAATCCATGTTCTGCTTATCCACACAGCAGAGAGAGAGAGGGGAGTGGTGGGGGAGTGGTGGGGGGAGGGAGGGAGGAGCCTCAGAATGTCCCCCACCGCCATCCCCCCACACCGGCGGTGGGGGAGGGAGCCCGGCTGGGATTGGCCGCGCCGCGTTTGTCTCCCCCCCCCCCCCTTGCACCCACCCTGGGCCCCCGCTGCTCCCATTGGCTGCCCGTTGGCTTCTGGGGGTCGATATTTTAAGTAAACGGGAGACTTCAAGACGTTGAAGAGTGGTGGGGGGGAGGGAGAGGAGGGAGAGGGGGGTGGGGGGGAGGGAGAGGGGGGAGAGAGAGGAGGGCTGAGCTAGACAGGAAAGTAGCAAGGGAACCCAGGCAGGGAGCAAACGAGCCGTGTGTGTATGTGAGAGCCGTGTGTGTATGTGAGAGCCGTGTGTGTGTATGTGAGAGCCGTGTGTGTGTATGTGAGAGCCGTGTGTGTGTATGTGAGAGCCGTTTGTGTATGTGAGAGAGCCGTGTGTGTGTATGGGAGAGCCGTGTGTGTATGTGAGAGCTGTGTGTGTGTATGTGAGAGCCGTGTGTGTATGTGAGAGCCGTGTGTGTGTATGTGAGAGCCGTGTGTGTGTATGTGAGAGCCGTGTGTGTATGTGAGAGCCGTGTGTGTATGTGAGAGCCGTGTGTGTATGTGAGAGAGCCGTGTGTGTGTATGTGAGAGCCGTGTGTGTATGTGAGAGCTGTGTGTGTGTATGTGAGAGCCGTGTGTGTATGTGAGAGCCGTGTGTGTGTATGTGAGAGCCGTGTGTGTGTATGTGAGAGCCGTGTGTGTGTATGTGAGAGTCGTGTGTGTGTATGTGAGAGCCGTGTGTGTGTATGTGAGAGCCGTGTGTGTGTATGTGAGGGCCGTGTGTGTATGTGAGAGCCGTGTGTGTGTATGTGAGAGCCGTGTGTGTATGTGAGAGCCGTGTGTGTATGTGAGAGCCGTGTGTGTGTATGTGAGAGCCGTGTGTGTATGTGAGAGAGCCGTGTGTGTGTGTATGTGAGAGCCGTGTGTGTGTGTGAGAGAGCCGTGTGTGTGTATGTGAGAGAGCGGTGTGTATGTGAGAGGTGTGTGTGTATGTGTGTGTGTATGTGAGAGCCGTGTGTGTGTATGTGAGAGCCGTGTGTGTGTATGTGAGAGCCGTGTGTGTATGTGAGAGCCGTGTGTGTGTATGTGAGAGAGCCGTGTGTGTATGTGAGAGAGCGGTGTGTGTGTGTGAGAGAGCCGTGTGTGTGTATGTGAGAGAGCGGTGTGTGTGTGTATGTGAGAGCTGTGTGTGTATGTGTGTGTGTATGTGAGAGAGCGGCGTGTGTGTGTATGTGAGAGAGCCGTATGTGTGAGCCGTGTGTGCCTGGGGGCTCACTCTCTGCTCCTCCGTCTGGCGAAAAGTTGTGATGCTGCTGCTGCTGCTGGTTTGCTTGCTGCTTTGAGAGGGGACACGCCGACGTTGGATGTTGGAGGAGGAGTTGCACTCGTGAGCGAAGGGAGGAATCTCTCTTTCGATCGGTCTCTCGTCTCGTACAGCTGACTGTGAGTACGTTCACACGCACACACACAACGCGTGTGTGTGTGTGTGAGGGAGTGTGCCTGTGTGTGTATGTGGGTCATATGCTGCGCGTCTGATGTGGTTAGTGCTATTGTGAAATGCATGCGGAGCGCACACACACGCAGACACGTTCACTGACACAGTCACAGACACACACACAGTCACAGACACACACACACACTTTCACGCACATTTGCGTAGACAAAAGACAGAGATTCACATCGACAGTCACGGCGACACATTCACACACACAAACTTTCTCACACACGTAAACAGACATTCACAAAGTCAGACACAGAGACACGTTCACACACGTACAGACAGACACGCATTCACACACACACACGCAACACACATTCTCTCACACACACGCGCAGATAGACACAACTCACACACACAAAGAACAAGACAAAGATCCCACCCCCGTGTCGCATTAACAGTTGGGGGGGGGGGAAAGACACTTTCTGTCCGCGAGCAGCACCTCCGCACGACACAAAGACGCATTCGCACGCGTACAACGCGCAAGGACACGCAGATTCCCCGCGCCGCCTTAGCAGACGCTTCGATGGCAAGCGCTCTTATAACAGCGCAGACATTCTGCTGTGCGTAGTTTCTCTCTCTCTCTGTGTGTTACTGTACTGCGTGTGGTTCGGGGGATGCGGTGTGAAAGTGGTCAGCGCGATGCACCGCGAGTTGCATTCTCGTGCCTGGGCCAGCATCAGTGGCGGAAAAACGAGGATCCGAACCGAATGCCCGAACCCGACTTAGGTGCCCTCGGCCACAAACGAGTCGCGTGTGGTTGAGACGTCAGCGCCGTGGTGCCGGCCACACCGCCAGCAGCAGCAGCAGCACCGACTGCGTCCGTGAGAGACGTGGCGGCCTGGATAGGTGCTCGCTGACAGGAGCTGACTCAACAGTCTAGGGGTTGATCTGTGGTGCGTGCGGGAAGTCTGTCTGTGTGCACTTGCCTGCGTAGGCTGCGTAGGCTATGTGGGAGTGGGGACATTTGTCTTTGTCGGAAGGTGGTGTCTGATGTGGTCAACTCGTACAGATCTGACACAGATCAAAATCTGCCGCCAAATCAGTGTCAATTCCGTGCCCGATCCGTGGTGCAACTTCTCTCCCGTTGAATACGAGAGGGGGGGTGGGGAGGGGCAGCAGACGCGCAGATCGAGCCGTGGACAAGTCTCCCCGCGATGTCTCCAGGAAGGAGGAGGATGGCCCCTCCGTGAGCCAAGCAGTTGCAGGGTTTGCGCCTTTGGTAGCGTGCGGCAGCCAATAGGAATCGCCACTCGGCGATCGCGATGATGATGATGGCGATGGTGATGGATCGATATCACAGCGCGTCCAAGAGCACGACTGGAAGTTGTGTGGTGGTGGTTGTGGTGGTTGGTGGTTGTTGGTGGTGGTGGTTGGTGGTGGTGGTTGGTGGTGGTGGTTGGTGGTGGTGGCATCGCTTGGACACTTGTGGGGGTGGTCACTCCGCGTGTCGGAGCTGGTGACGCACTGCCGCAGCTGATATTTAAACATCGGGCGGCTTTCAGCTTCTCTCACTCTCTGCTTGTAGGGGGGGCCTCGTTTGGCGCGTGGCTATAACAGTGAGTCGCTACGGCAGCGGGAAGGAGGTTGTCTCGACGTGGTGGTGGTGTGTGTAGGTCTCGGCAGCATCTTCATTCACACGCAGCGGCACTTTCTTGCCGTGTGTGTTCGGTGTGTTCTGTGTGTCATCACGCAGGGGGACAAAACGAACTCGTTGAAGGATCCTCAACTGCCCCGAGTTTCGCTTCAGTGACCACTCTAGCAACGGGCGGACATCGACCACGATGGCTGGTGGATCTTCTTAGCACAGCAGCGAAACCATCATCATCAGCAGCGGCAGCGAAATTATCAGCATCATCAGCAGCAGTAGCAGCGGCTGCTAAAGAAGACATCAAAAGAGAAGACGCTCCATCATCACCCGCTTGCATTGCGGTCCACGTATACTTTGAACTTTTATAATTTTGGCCGACAGTTAAACGAACACTACAAAGGCTGGCACGTTAGACCCATCGGCGGCGGCGGTGGTGGTGGTGCTGACGGTGGTTTGGAGAACGTAGTTCCCCCCCCCCACCACGCGCCCCCCATGCATTTGCCGCGGCGCGCACGGACGACGCGAAAGGCGGACTGGATCGCGCTCCCTGGACATGGACCTTCGCAGGCAGAATGTTGAACTCTGTAGCTGTCAGCTGTTGCTGCTGCTGCTCTTGCTGCTGCCACGACCAGTGCTGCCGGCGTCGTCGCCGCTGCTGCTGCTCTGACCGCGAGTGAATCGAGTGATCGAGCAGATCGGAAGGGGGCGGCGGTAAGAGGAGAATCAGCGTCGGAAGCATCGTCAGCTCACGTCCCCTCCGATAATGGGACTTTGGGCGGGCGCTCTCACATGGATTGCATTCACCACAGCTGGGATGGCGGTGTCGGCTCGCTATGCTAAGTATTCCTACACGTCTCAAGGTAAACCGCAGTTGTTGTTGTTTGCATGTTGACGTCCGCGCGCGTGCGTGTGAGCGGCGAATGACTTTTGAGTGCGGACAGAGCCCGGCGCCAGACATTGCACCGCGCTCCGACGTGAGGATGTTTGTCCGACTCAATTCACTCGGCGTTTGAGAATGATAATGAGGGCCGGTCACGGGTGCTCTCTGAGTTACAAGACGCTCTGGGAAATCGGAATCAGGGCCTTGGTGCGTGGAGGCGTCTCTCTCTCTCTGTGTGTGGAGTCGGTGTGTCTCGCCCCTGGTCTGCAAAGGGGTTCCTCCGGGTTTTATTCCTCGCAGAGCTCTCAACAATTCCCCGCAGACTTCCACTCAATTTGCGATCGCACAGCAGCAGCAGCTGCAACGTCGCCCCCTACCGCGAGAACTTGGCAGGACCCTCCTGAAAACGAGTCTCGAGACTCGTGCGAGGCTTTCCGTGGCGAACAAGCGGAATGACAACTCAGCACGCTTGTGCATACCCAGGGCAGCGTGAGTCTCAAGACTACTCGTTTTCAAAAAGGTCCTGCATTAAGATGTTTGGCCAGAACCCTCTGTACTCATCTGGTGCGGTGTGTCAACATCGCCACTAGGGAGACAAAGGCGGCCGGGCGCGGTGCTGGCCACCCCCCCCCCTCGCGTGCCGTGCCGGCCTTCGTAGGTGCTGACTGACAGCACTTGCCCCAAACAATCTGATAAGGCTATACGGGGGGTCTTTGTATGTGTACGTCCCTCTTTGTCAACCGCACTCCTGGGTGAGATCTTCCCCGCGCCGTGGAGGTCACGGCGGTAAATTGACCCCAAGACTCGAGTGGCGAAGGTGGAGAGACGTGGATGTGCTGTGGGATGTTCGCTACAGCAGCGGGGCTTTGCTGCCACGGCCCTTGAGCTGGTCGCAGTGATGTAACCATCGCCATCTGTGGCCGAGTGAGGATTATCACCACGTCCAGTATCCAGCATTACACCGCCCCCAGCCCCTCCTCCACACTGCCTTAGAGCCCTCAGCGTGACCTCCTGCTGCTGCTGCTGCTCAAACGAGCATTGAGGCATCAATCCTGTAGAGAAAGTGGGGGGGGGGGGGGGATTCCACATTCATGTGGCCGGGGGCGAGTCCATCCACAAACCAACGACCGTTAATTTCTCCACAAAATAGTACCTATTTTATCGACCCCGCGTGACAGGGATGATGATGGGCTGAGTGAACCAAACCCAGTGGGATTTGAACTCGCGACCCCACCGCTGCGCCATTGGGTAGTGGGGCAGTGAGGGTGTCTACTGTACTCCGCTGCCTCTGCCGCACGGCCACGCAAGCACCTGGGTGGGTGGTGGCGGCGATGTGTTAAGCATCAGCACCGGGGAGACAAAGGCGGCCGGGCGTGGGGTGCGGGCCACCCACCCACTCGTGTGCCGTGCCGATCTTCATACGTGCTCGCTAACAGCACTTGCCCCCAAAGGCTATAGGGGCGATCTTTGTCTCTGTGTATACGCGCGTGTGAGTTCACTGCTGATGTGTGACAGCTGGTGGCGGAGGTGTGTAAACATCGCCTGTTCCGCGATGGAGACAAAGGCGGCCGGGCGTGGTGCTGGCCACCCACCCCCTCGTGTGCCGTGCCGGCCTTCGTAGGTGCTACTCGCTAACAGCACTTGCCCCGACCAGCCTGCCGAGGCTACACGGGGGGCCTTTGTCTTTGGTGGGTGGATGGAGAAGGCGGGGCTAGTTTGAGTGACAGGCGACGGTGTCGACTGACACGAGTGGTGGTGGTGGTGGGGCTTGATCATTTTTTTGGTGGCATTGAAAACTTCTGAGTAGGGTCATCTCTTTGGCTTTCAATTCAAATCTTTGCTTGGGTCCCGCGGTGACTTAACTCGTAGCCGGGGCCCCTTTCCCTGCCCTCCTCCTCCTATACATTCCATCGGCGGCGATGTGGACGTGCGCGCACTGTGCGGGGGCAGTCTGTAGCTTATGCAACCCCCGAGGCACTTCTGTTGACGTGCCCCCTTCTTGTGAGTATTCTGGCAACCACCAAAATGTGTCCACGGCGCACGCACGCGCACGCACGCGCGTGTAACGCGCACGCACGCACGCGCACGCACGCGCACGTAGCAAACACCCCCCCACACACCCCACCTGGGTTCGATCACCGAACCGGGTGGCCCCTATCGGCGTGAGCGTTTGTGCTTCTTTCCCCTCTCATGGGCAGAAGTAAGACGGGGTGTGTGTGTGTGTGTTGCGTGTGTGTGCTTGTTGGGTGTGTGTGTTGTGTGTGTTTTGGGTGTGTTGTGCGTTGGGTGTGTGTGTGTCTTGTGTGTGTGGTGTGTGTGTGTGTGTTGTGTGTGTGTTGTGCGTTGGGTGTGTGTGTGTCTTGTGTGTGTGGTGTGTGTGTGTGTGTTGTGTGTGTGTTGTGTGTTGGGTGTGTGTGTTGGGTGTGTGTGTGTGTGTTGGGTGTGTGTGTTGTGTCTTGGGTGTGTGGGTGTGTGTGTTGTGTGCTGTGTGTTGGGTGTGTGTGTGTGTTGTGTGTTGGGTGTGTGTGTGTGTTGGGTGTGTGTGTGTGTTGGGTGTGTGTGTTGTGTGTTGGGTGTGTGGGTGTGGGTGTTGTGTGCTGTGTGTTGGGTGTGTGTGTGTTGTGTGTTGGGTATGTGTGTGTGTGTTGGATGTGTGCGTTGGGTGTGTGCGTGTGTTGGGTGTGTGTGGTGCGTGTGTGCGGCGTGTGTTGGGTGTGTACGCGTGTTGGGTGTGTGCGTGTGTTGGGTGTGTGTGTGCGTGCATGTGTTGGGTGTGTGCGTGTGTGTGTGTGTGTTGGGTGTGTACGCGTGTTGGGTGTGTGCGTGTGTTGGGTGTGTGCGTGTGTTGGGTGTGTATGTGCGTGCGTGTGTTGGGTGTGTGCGTGTGTGTGTGTGTTGGGTGTGTGTGTTGTGTGTGTGTGTTGGATGTGTTGGGTGTGTGTGTTGGGTGTGCGTGTGTTGGGTGTGTGTTGTGTGTGTGTTGGGTGTGTGCGTGTTGGGTGTGTGTGTATGTTGGGCGTGTGTGTGTGTATGCGTGTGTGTTGGGTGTGTGTGCGCGTGTGTGTTGTGTGTGTGTGTTGGGTGTGTGTGTGTGTTGGGTGTGTGTGTGTTGGGTGTGTGCGTGTGTGTGTTGCGTGCGTGTGTTGGGTGTGCGTGTGTGTGTGTTGGGTGTGTGTGTGTTGGTTGTGTATGTGTGTGTTGGGTGTGTGCGTGTGTGTTGGGTGTGTGCGTGTTTGTTGGTTGTGTGCGTGTGTGTTGGGTGTGTGCGTGTGTGTTGGGGGGTGTATGTGTGTTGGGGGTGTGTGTGTGTTGGGTGTGTGTTGGGTGTGTGTTGGGTGTGTGTGTGTGTTGGGTGTGTGTGTGTTGGGTGTGTGCGTGTGTGTGTGTTGGGTGTGTGCGTGTGTGTGTGTGATGGGTGTGTGTGTTGGGTGTGTGTGTGTGTGTTGGGTGTGTGCGTGTGTGTGTGTTGGGTGTGTGCGTGTGTGTGTGTGTTGGGTGTGTGCGCGTGTTGGGTGTGTGTGCGTGTTGGGTGTGTGTGCGTGTGTTGGGTGTGTGTGTGTGCGTGTGTTGGGTGTGTGTGTTGGGTGTGTGCGTGTTGGGTGTGTGTGTGTGTTGGGCGTGTGTGTGTGTATGCGTGTGTGTTGGGTGTGTGTGCGCGTGTGTGTTGTGTGTGTGTGTTGGGTGTGTGTGTGTGTTGGGTGTGTGTGTGTTGGGTGTGTGCGTGTGTGTGTTGCGTGCGTGTGTTGGGTGTGCGTGTGTGTGTTGGGTGTGTGTGTGTTGGTTGTGTATGTGTGTGTTGGGTGTGTGCGTGTGTGTTGGGTGTGTGCGTGTTTGTTGGTTGTGTGCGTGTGTGTTGGGTGTGTGCGTGTGTGTTGGGGGTGTATGTGTGTTGGGGGTGTGTGTGTGTTGGGTGTGTGTTGGGTGTGTGTTGGGTGTGTGTGTGTGTGTTGGGTGTGTGTGTGTTGGGTGTGTGCGTGTGTGTGTGTTGGGTGTGTGCGTGTGTGTGTGTGATGGGTGTGTGTGTTGGGTGTGTGTGTGTGTGTTGGGTGTGTGCGTGTGTGTGTGTTGGCGGTGTGCGTGTGTGTGTGTGTTGGGTGTGTGTGTTGGGTGTGTGTGCGTGTGTTGGGTGTGTGTGCGTGTTGGGTGTGTGTGTGTGCGTGTGTTGGGTGTGTGTGTTGGGTGTGTGTTGGGTGTGTGTGTGTGTGTGTGTTGGGTGTGTGTGTTGGGTGTGTGTGTGTGTGTTGGGTGTGTGTGTGTGTTGGGCGTGTGTGTGTGTGTGTTGGGCGTGTGTGTGTGTGTGTTGGGTGTGTGCGTGTGTGTGTGTTGGGTGTGTGTGTGTGTTGGGGGTGTGTGTGTGTGTGTGCGTGTGTTGAGTGTGTGTGTGCGTGTGTTGGGTGTGTGTGTGTTGGGTGTGTGTTGGGTGTGTGCGTGTGTGTGTGTGCGTGTGTGTGTTGTGTGTGTGTGTTGGGTGTGTGTGTGTGTGCGTGTGGAATTTGCGTGCTCTCTCGCCCTGTGTTGTGCACAGGGCGAGCACGTGGCGAACCGAGTTTTGATTCGCGCTCAATGTGCCAGCAAGTGGCGACGATTCATCTGAATCGGTCCTGGCCGCCCCCGAGATTGACTCAGCCTTAAATGAGTACCCGGTGCAGGAGTGCAAACACTGCCGCGAGGAAGACAAAGGCGGCCGGGCTTGGTGTTGGCCACCCACACCCCTCCTGTGCCGTGCCGGCCTTCATAGGCGCTCGCTAACAGCACTTGCCGCCAGCAGCCCGCGCACCCTGCACATGACGGGGGGAGCTTTATCTGTGTGTGGTTTGCATGCCGGGCGGAACAGATCATCACCGTCACCGACATTCACGGGCTCGGCCAAACTTCCCAATGTAGGAACGCAGAGCTCGGGCAAACTGTCGGCAGCGGCAGCGGCAGCTTTCCCATGGTGGCTTCCCACGGACGAGCGGGACCCATCACCACCAACAAACAAAGACAAAGAAGCCCCGTGTAGCCTTCACAGACTGTAGGGGCAAGTGCTGCTAGCGAGCACCGATGAAGGTCGGCACGGCACACGAGGGGGTGGGTGGCCAGCACCCACGCCCGGCCGCCTTTGTCTCCCCCAGTGGCGATGTTTACTACACACCGCACCGGGTGCTCATTCGAGGCCGAGTCGACCTAGGGGAGACCCAGGACCCGGTTCAGATAAATATCTTCACCGGCGTTGGCCGCGAGTGGGAACCGACCCCGGATCGCCGGGTTCGTAGCGCCGCTACGCCAACCGCTTTGCCACCGCTCCCCACAAAAACGCCACCACCACAACCACCACAACCACCACCACAAACAACAACAACAAGAAGATAATCAGGCGCGCAGCATGGCAGCAGGAGGAGGCTGGGGGGTGGTGGAGAGGCGAAAGTGAGAGTGCAGTGGTGGAGAAATCGTTACGCGGCGGAATGCGCCCGGGAAAGAGGGGCTTGTGGGGGGGGGGGGAGAGAAATCGCAGCTGTAACAGCGAAAGTGCCGGGCGCTTTGTCTGTAATTACAGTCAGACAATGCAGAGGAGGCTTTTCTTGACGGCCGGCCAACCAGTCCGTCTGGTATGTCCAGCGGAACGTGCCGGTCCGCGCTCGCCGCCTCCTCCTCCTCGCCGCACGTGCCGAGCGGGCCAATGGTGCGGTGGGGGGGGGCAGCCACCACCCCCCCCAGCCCCCCTCTCCACCCCCCAGCGGCTCCCACCCCACCGCGTTGCTCTCGCGCCCACCACCACCACCACCAACCCCTCACTCGCTCGCTCGCTCCCGCCCCTCTCCTCCTCCATGTCTCCCCCCCCCCCCCCAGCTGATTTCCTGCGGAATGTGGATCACTACGAAACGACGATACCGCAGAGGGTCGACCACAACGGAGCGCCGGTCCCTCCGCCCGAGAGGAACGACGGCCGGGCCCGGCCCAGGAGGAGCGTGGACGGGCTGCGGACAGGCAAGAGCGCGGTCGGGGTCACGGCGGGGTCACGGCGGGGGTCACGGCGGGGGTCACGGCGGGGTCACACGCCGAGATGGTGGCGCTGGTGGGGGACACGGCGGCGGCCGTGGCTGTCCGAGTCGGGGAGCCCCTTGTCTGTCCGTCTGCGTGTCCCTCTGTCCGTCTGCGTGGACGGACAGAGTGAAGAGGAAACTCGGGACAAGAGAGAGAAACGGGGGGGAGAGATGGAGAGACACAGATGCGTTGAGAGACACAGAGAGACACGGAGAGACACAGACGCGTTGAGAGACACAGCAAGAGAGACACGGAGAGACACAGACGCGTTGAGAGACACGGAGAGACACGGCCACATTGAGAGACACGGAGAGACACAGACACATTGAGAGACATGGAGAGACACAGCAAGAGAGACACAGACGCGTTGAGAGACACGGAGAGACACAGACACATTGAGAGACACGGAGAGAGACACGGAGAAAACTAAATAAACAAATGTCTCCTTCCCATATCCGTCTCTGCACAAACATCAGCAATTTTCTCCCCTTACACTCCCCATCAGCCACATGGCATTCTGGGAGTGCTCAGTGTTAGCAGCATTGACTTGAACACTCGGTTTCAACATGCAGCCTCTCAGCAGCAGTCAGGCTCTTGCTTGGAATACGCATTTTGATTTGGGCTCATACGAGGTGATTATTATTTTAGTTATTCCACTTGTTTAGCCAGGAGAGACTCGCTGAGTGTCAAGACTCGTTTTCAGGAGGGTCCTGCCATGTTTTCGAAGAAGGTCGGGGGGAGGATGATGCTGCTGCTGTGTGATCCCAATTGAGTCATATTGCAGGTGGCCTTTCAGAACTGAGATGATGGTTGGCCAGTGTCGGTGACATTGTGCCGTTTTGTTTTAGGCACGGGAGAAGGAAACCCGTGCAGAGCAGGGGGGAGAGAGAACACGCAGATTCCACGCAGGACTCCACGCAGACTCCACGCAGAACACACACACAGTGCAGAACAGGCCGCAAGCGGTCCACGCCGCACACATTCACGCTCGCACTCGCACACACACTGGCAGAGCAGCCGGGGAGAGCATTCAGACTGCAACACAGAACGGCGCCGGGGAGGGAATCGACCCGGAACTTTGACGCGTGTGTGCGGCGTCTGCTGCAGAGAGGAGAGAAGGCAGAGAGAGGGGGAGAGATAGAGGGGAGGAGTGGGTAGAGGGAGGAGATAGAGCGGGGAGAGAGCGGGGGAGAGGGGAGGAGAGAGGGGACGGGGGGGGGAGAGAGCGGAGGAGGGAGGGGAGAGGAGGAGAGAGGGGGGGGGAGAGATGCGGGGGAGATGGGCAGAGAGGGTAGGGGAGGACGAGAGCGGGGACGATGAGCGGGGAGTAGGGGAGGGAGGGACAGGGGGGGAAGAGCGGGGAGAGAGGGGGAGAGGGGGAGAAGAGAGGGAGAGAGGGAGGAGAGAGCGTGGAGGAGAGGGAGGGAGAGAGCGGGGAGAGAGGGGGAGGGGGGAGAGGGGGGTAGAGGGAGGAGAGAGCGGGGAGAGAGCGGGGAGAGAGGAGAGAGAGGGAGAGAGGGGATGAGACAGGGGGAGAGGGGGGAGAGGGGGGTAGAGGGAGGAGAGAGCGGGGGAGAGAGAGCGGGGGGAGAGGGGGTAGAGGTAGGAGAGAGCGGGGGGAGAGGGGTAGAGGGAGGAGAGAGCGGAGAGAGCGGGGGAGAGCGGGGAGAGAGGAGAGAGGGGAGAGAGGGGATTGAGACAGGGGAGAGGGGGGAGAGGGGGTAGAGGTAGGAGAGAGCGGGGAGAGAGCGGGGGGGGGAGAGGGGGTAGAGGTAGGAGAGAGCGGGGGGGAGAGGGGGTAGAGGTAGGAGAGAGCGGGAGAGGAGGAGGGGGGGAGAGGGGGTAGAGGTAGGAGAGAGCGGGGGGAGAGGGGGTAGAGGTAGGAGAGAGCGGGGAGAGAGGGAGAGAGGGGGTAAGAGGTAGGAGAGAGCGGGGAGAGAGACGGGGGGAGAGCGAGGAGAGAGGGGAATGTTTTAGAGTTATTTTCAGAGTGGGGGGAACCGGGCGGCCGGACACAGCGGGAGGGGGTGGGGGGGAGAATTCCGTTCATAGAGAGAGGGAGGGAGAGATGGGCGGACAGGGGTGGGTGGGTCGGTGGGGGGAAAGAATTTGGCGAGAAATTCCACGAGTGGCCACTACTTGCAGGGGGTCGCCAGTTTTGGACGATCTGGGGCAGCGGTGGAGGAGAGAGAGGACAGAGAGAAAGAGAGACGGGGAGAGAGATACAGAGAGAGAGACAGGGAGAGAGACAGAGAGAAACGGGGAGAGAGATGCAGAGAGAGAGAGAGACAGGGGGAGAGAGGGAGAAACAAGGAGAGGGAGAGAAAGGGGGAGACATCGCGGCCAAGGCTGACATAGGCTCGCTGCCGGAACGTCGAACTTGCGGCCACGAGACGGAGGAGAGACCCCGTGCAGTCCGTCTAACCGTGCAGGCAGCGTGGCCCCGCGTCGCTCCCTCACGCTGCGAGTTTATTTGTTTGAGCGCGAGAGAGGAAGCCAAATACCTTCCAAATTAGCGGAGACCCCTTCTTTTGCCAGCAGCGGCGTGAGCCAGCGATTGCAGGGCTGCGCCTCTACCTTGGCTATGTACCCGGTCCGCCGTGGTGGCCACGCTGCTGCACCTGGCGGCCTGGAGCCATCCAGCGAGAGGCAGTCGAGAGGTTGGTGGATCGCACACAGATGGGCTGTGCAACTCCCTTCCTGTGGGTGGTGCCGTATTCCCGGCTCGCCAGGAGAAGGCGGTACAGAAAGTGGACTTCTCGCCATCTGTGTCCGTCTGTACGGGGATTGAGCGTTGTCCCCTCGCGCTAAGCGCGGGGTTTTCTCCGGGCGCACCGGTTTTCTCCTCCTGCACGTGTATAATAACGAATCGGCTGGGAACATCTTACAATAAAAAACCCCCCAATGTAGCAGCGGCGGCGGCAGGACCCTCCTGAAAGACATCCCTGCCTGCGACTCAGCGTGGCTGTCCTGGATAGATGAGTACAACATTATAGACACGCAAAATACCGTGGTAGCCGCAGCGTGCAATCCGCACCGACTTTCAAGAGACCCATCGAAGGCTCACCACCACCACAGAGCAGAAATGGGTCCCGCCTAAGGTCGCAAAACGTGAGGCAATGCAATTTATTGACACGGCCCGTGAGAGCGAACTGCCCGGTGACCTCGCCCACCTCACTGTTGGCGATCGCAGCGTTTCACCGCTGCCGGCCACGCGAAAGGGCACCGGGGAGGTGGCGAGAGAGGGGAGAGAGAGGGGAGAGAGACGGCGCGACGATGGCCCTGCTCTGCCAGTGAGACGTCCGCTCCGGGCTCGTCACAGACCCGACCCCGAAGGCCCCAACCTCCTCTCTCGCCTGACTCGCGAGTGGCACGCGGAGCTCGCGCTCGCTCGCCACGTCTGCTGAGTACTCGGGCACATTGTTGTCGCGTCCACCGCATTGGCAAGGCGCCGCCACGGCGCCCGGCGCCCGCTTGCCGCTTGTTGTGGCGGGCGGCCGAGAGCCCAGCGGGTTGCCCCGGTGAGGACGGATGCTCGGGCAACCGGTGGCGAGCCGGACGGGGTGGTAGCGGCCTCGAAGGGACCCCGGCGCGAGGCCCCTGCGGCGAGGCCTTACGTGCGGCGGTGCCGGGAGGTCAATTCGGCGTTGGCCACGATCGCGCTCAGCTCGCCCACGACAGCGTCGCAGACTTCCCCAAGGCCGCTTTTCAGGAGAGGCCTGCCAAGGTTGTTGCAGTGGGGGGGGGAGGGTGTGTGCGATGCTACCGCCGCCGACGCTGCGCGTGATCCCAACGCGGAGAAGGTGAATGGCGCTTGCCTACGATAGACTCGTCCCCTGCGTACCATAGTAACGTGGAATATCCACCGCACCACTGGTTCAGTTCCCTCCTTCTGAGCAGGAAATCTCCGTCGGCTGCTGCCCCCCTCTGCCTCCGCTGGACGCGCGGTGCACGAACCCCGCGCGTTCATCCCGCCGACCTCTCGTCTCACGAGGACTGAGCCTCCCCCCCCCAACTGCACCGACTGTGCCACAGTCGCCGCAGCCGCCGCCGCAGGGCCGGCCTTCGCGCAGAGGCCCGTGTAGGATGGCGCTTCCTCGTTTGGCACCCCCACGAAGGGTGCGGAGGCCGTCGCGGCGAGAGCAGTCCGGGGTTGGTGCTCGGCGGCCCGGTGACTCGACGCGATGAGGGGGGAGGTCCTTTGCCCAAAACGTCGCCCGCTTGTGCGTTGTTCCCGCTACGACCCCGGCGCCGAGCCGTTTGTGAGTTGCGTGCCGCTGCCGGGAAACGGCGACGGGTGGCGGTGTGGCCGGCGTCGCCAAATCGCTTGGTTCGGGAATCGATTTATTTTGTGTCGTCTCGTCGGTCGGGGTCCCTCGTGTCGTTCAGGATTTGTTTCCGTGCGGTTTGGTGCGGCTGTGTACGCCACTCTCCGTGTCGAAGGCCACATACAACCACACAGTGCAGTGTGGACAACATACCGAATCAAATCAGAGCATTGACCCCGACGCGGATAGCACGCTCTCTCTCACTTTCTCTCGCTCTCTCACTCTGTCTCGCCCTGTCGCTCTGTCTCTCACTCTCTCCTGTTCTCTCTCGTGCTCTTTCTCTCACTCTCTGTCTCTCTCACTCTCACTCACTCGCTCTCACTCTCTTCACTCTCTCTCGCTCTCTCTTGCTCTCTTTCTCGCTCTGTCTCTCTCACTCTCTCGCTCTCTCTCGCTCTGTCTTTTCGCTCTCTCCTGCTCTTCTCTCGCTCGCTCTCTCACTCTCTCTCTCGCTCTGTGTCTCTCTCACTCTCTCCTGCTCTCTCTCTTTCTTGCTCGCACGGCCGACCGGGCCCTGCGCCCACGCCAAGCGTCGAACGCTTGACCCGCTCGTCGCGATCGGCCAAATTGGCACTCGGTGCGCCGCTAAGAATTCTGCCGGCAGTGGGGGTGTGGGGAGGAGGTTTTCATCCAGCAGCTGATAGAACATGGCCGTGACGACGGCGTGGCGGGTGCGCGCAAGCGAACCGGTCCCGGGCCTCCCCTAGGTCGACTCGGTCTGGTGCGGTGCGTGAAAAAAAAATCGCCCACCCGAGGGAGACAAAGGTGGCCCGGGCGTGGCGTCGCGCCGCCCGCCCACCCGTGCCACGCCGGCCTTCTCGGGCGCCGCTAAACCGTCGCTCGCCCCGACGATCCGCCAAAGGCTACGAGGGGGTGGTGGTGGAACCTGTCGCGTCTCTCGTGCGGCGCAGGCGACGGGCACGGCGACGCGGCGCAGGTCTACTACCGGCTCGCCGCCTACGGGCGTCAGCTCCACCTCAACCTGAGCCTGAACGCGGCGCTCGTGTCGCGGGCCTTCTCCGTCGAGTACTGGGGCCGCCGCGGCCTCGACTGGCGCCACAACTACGTCTCCGACTGCCACTACACGGGCCACCTGCAGGGCCGCCAGGGCACCACCCGCGTCGCACTCAGCAACTGCAACGGCCTGGTGAGCGGGAGGCGAGGGAGGCGAGGGGGGCGGGGGGGGCGAGGGGGGCGAGGGGGGCGAGGGGGGCGGGTGGGGGCGGGAGGGCGGGTGGGGGGTCGGAGTGCGCCGCCCGGGTTTGGGTTTTTGGTGAGAGAACGGCCCCGCAGAAGCGGATACCGCAGAGGGGACTCTCTGCCGCGGTGGCGAGATGTTAACCACCTCGCCAGGTATACAGGGGGTCCTGGGTTTGATCGCTATACATTTCCACGTGACAAGCCACTTCATTGAGATAGAATTTCTGATTGCCAGATTGCTTCTGAGCCATATTGCTCAGTGGGCCTTACTCGGCAAAATAATTAATATAGTTTCGTTTCATTTCTTCCTCTGGTGACCACTCTGGTCCACGCACAGTCATGGGCGGCGGTTTCCCACCGGCTGTGGCCCGTGGGAGCGATGCTCGTCACACCGTTGTCACATTGACGCTCTCGCTCACCTCCCTACCCAGCTAGCGTCGTCGTCGTCGCATCGCGCACTCCACCCGCCTTGTCAACAGTCACCGTCGCCATCGCCACCGTCGTCGTCATCGTCACTGACGAGGTTTCCATGTCACCTTGTCCGAGCGTTCGAGCACGGCCCTTCTGTCAATCCACTGCTGGAGGAGGAAATCCTTTTCTCACCGTGCAGGATCGTCACGGGGGGGGGGTGGGGGGCTGTTTGATCATACTTCACTACGCTGGTCAGTGCGATTGTCCGTGGCCGTGAATCGAACTCGGGGCGACGGGTTCACAGCGGGGGCGAGTGACCGCCGCCGCCGCTGCCCCCGCCCCCCGTAACGACGCGGAACCGGCGAGCGCGCCGCCACCGCCGTTCCCACGGTTCTGGGAAAATGGAAATCGTGGTGGCGGAGCGGCGGCACGGCCTGGCGCTGGTGCCGCGCCGCTGCGGGTGGCGGCCGTGGCGGCCAGCCCGGTCCTCGCCCCGCTGTGGCGGCGGCGGCGGCGGCAGCGCCAGCGTCGTGCACCCCCTCTGGCTGGCGCGCGGGTTTTTGAGGTCGATGTTTTTGTAACGGCGAGCGAAGTCGGAGCGCGCAGAGTGGGAGAAGGAGAGAGAGGGAGAGGGGGGGGAGAGGGAGGGAGAGAGGCGGGGGGTGGTGCAGCAGAGCAAATGCTAGACAGGAAGGACTGTGGGTCCAAGGCAAAGGGGGTGCGTGTGTGTGCATGCGTGTGTGGAGTGTGTGTGCGTGTGTGTGAGTGTGTGTGCGTGTGTGTTTGTGCGCGCGTGTGCGTGTGTGCGTGTGTGTGCATGTGCGTGCGTGCGTGTGCGTGCGTGTGTGTGTGCGCGTGTGTGGAGCGGTAGTGCAGCAGTTATTGCTCCGCGCTCCGAGGCTGACGACCCTGGTTCAATGCCCGCTCAGGGCCAACACCGGTGACGATTATCTGAACCGGTCATGGGCCTCCCTTAGGTCGACTCAGCCGCAAATGAGTACCTAGTGCGGTGTGTATTAAACATCGCCACTGGGGAGACAAAGGCGGCCGGGCGTGGCGCTGCCCACCGACTTCCCCTCGTGTACCGTGCCGGCCTCCGTAGGTGCTACTCGCTAACAGCACTTGCCCCAACAGTCTGTTAAGGCTACACGGGGGGGGGATCTTTGTCTTGCTCTGTGCGTGCTTTGCTTGTGGCAGCCCCGTGCACTGCTGAGCCACTTGCTCACGGCCACTGGCTTGAACTATAATGACAACAATAATGCTACTGCTGCTGTCGTCATCACTCACGGCCCTTGCTTAATCCGCTGCTGGATGAAGGCCGCCCCAGGGCAGCGTTGATCATCAGGGTGGCGGCGAAGTGGTGACGCTCGCGCCGCGCAGCAAGAAGAGCGTGGGTTCGATTCCCGGCTCTGGCCCCCTTCTGTGTGGAGTTGCAGTGTGTGAGTGTGTGGTGAGTGTGAGAGTGTGATAAGTGTGTGTGGTGAGTGTGTGAGTGTGTGTGTGAAGAGGGTGACAGTGTGTGTGTGTGAGTGTGTGTGTGAGAGTGTGTGTGTGAGAGTGTGTGAGTGAGTGTGTGTGAGATTGTGTGTGTGAGTGTGTGTGAGAGTGTGTGAGTGTGTGTGAGAGTGTGTGTGAGTGTGTGTGTGTGTGAGTGAGTGTGTGTGAGAGTGTGGTGAGTGTGTGTGTGTGAGAGTGTGTGTGTGTGTGTGAGAGTGTGGTGTGTGTGAGTGTGTGAGGTGTGGTGTCGTGTGAGTGTGTGAGAGTGTGGTGAGTGTGTGCGTGAGAGTGTGTGTGAGTGTGTGTGTGGAGTGTGGTCAGTGTGTGAGAGTGTGTGTGTGAATGTGTGTGTGAGAGTTGTGTGGTGTTGGAAACATTTAGGCTGGCCTGCCTACGATCCATCTGGGCTTAACCAGGCTGGATGTGTGAGGAGCTCACAAATCCTTGAAAGATCTGGGCAAAGTCCCATCGGTGAGCTCCTCCGGCAGGCAAGGCTGCGTTGGCTGGGTCATGTAGCTCGCATGCCCAGCCACCGCATGCCTAAACAGCTTTTGTTCGGCCGGATCGAGGGGGCTAAACGGGCGCGGCACGGGCTACAGAAGAGATGGAGTGATGTGGTACAGGAGGACGTGGAGCTGAGTGGACTTGCCGATGACTGGTACCAGCGGTGTCAAGATCGGCCTCAGTGGAGGAGGCTCGTGAAGGACGTTACTGGGGAGTTGGAGGCAGTCGCCCTACAACAACAACGGAGGGCGGAGGAGCGACGCTCACAACAACGAGCGGAGCGCCGGGTGGCTAAAGCACAGCAAGTTGGTACAGTAGGGGGCAAAGGTGGTGCATCAGCCAGTCATATCGGTCATCTCGATCAGTCGACCCGTGGCACCTGCTGGTCTGCCCCGTGACCTCCTGCCAGCGGGCGTTCGACACTTCACGTGGCCTCAAGGTGCACTTGGCCTGGCACAAGCGTCGTGGTGACGTCACCGCCACTTAGTGGCGAATGGCGGTTGTTTTTGTTGTTGTGTGTGTGAGTGTGTGAGTGTGTGGTGAGTGTGTGTGTGAGAGTGTGTGAGTGTGTGTGTTAAAGTGTGTGAGTGAGTGTGTGTGAGAGTGTGTGTGAGAGTGTGTGAGTGTGTGTTAGAGTGTGGTGAGTGTGTGTGTGTGAGAGTGTGGTCAGTGTGTGAGAGTGTGTGTGTGAAAGTATGTGAGTGTGTGAGAGTGTGTGTGAGTGTGTGTGTTAGAGTGTGGTGAGTGTGTGTGTGTGAGAGTGTGGTCAGGGTGTGAGAGTGTGTGTGTGAAAGTGTGTGAGAGAGAGTGTGTGTGTGAGTGTGTGAGAGTGTGTGTGTGTGACAGTGTGTGTGAGTGTGTGTGTGAGAGTGTGTGTGACAGTGTGTGTGAGTGTGAGAGTGTGGTCAGTGTGTGTGAGTGTGTGTGTGAGAGTGTGTGTGACAGTGCGTGTGAGAAGGTGCGATGAGGTTTATTTATGGAAGCTGGGCCTCCCGTGGATTTTCAATTGAGGAGGGCACCGTCGGAGTCCCTTGACGTCCCCGCAGACCCAACGTGGCCGCGGCTGCTGAGCGTGGCAGCAATGCCAACGGCAGCGGCCGCGGCGGTGGCTCCGGCGAGAAGTCACGGCGCCTTGTCCAGCGGAGTCCGGAGAGCCGCGCCGTTCCCTCCGGCCGGCTCCGGTTCCGTCAGCGGCCTCCCGTTTAGCGCGGCGCGAACGAAGTTCAACGTGCACGCGGCGATTCGCCCGACCTGGCGACTCGCTAAGCAGGCCGGAGCCTGCTGAGCTTCGCGGCAAACGAACAGACGCGGCCATGCTGATCGTTGGCGCTCGATGGACTCTTTCCCCCCTTCCCTCGGCTCCCGCCCCCCCCCCCCCCCCCGTACCCACAGCACGGGGTGATCGTGGCGGACGGAGAGGAGTTCTTTATCGAACCGCTGCGGAACGCCACCTCCAGCTCGCCGTCGTCGCCGTCGTCGCGGCGAGCGCGGCGCGGGCGGCACGATGGGGCGGGGCGGGTGGGGGAGGTGGAGGAGGTGGAGGAGAGCCGCACCTCGTCTTCAAGCGCTCGGCCGTGCGGCTGCACCGCAAGCACGGGGAGGAGGAGGCGGCGTGCGGCGTAGGGGGTGAGCAGCGCCTACGGGTCCACATCATCATCATCCACCTCATCATCATCGTCCACCTCATCATCATCATCCACCTCATCGTCATCATCATCCTCATGCCAACAGACTCTCCCTCCCACTAAGGGGAAGCCCAGGGACCGATTCAAATATTCGTCACTGTTATTGATTGTGGGAGCGGGAATCGAACTCGGGTTTGCCGGGGTTCGTTGCACGGCACGCTAACCGTTGCACCACCGCTCCCCGCACTCACTCACACCCTGGGTCTGGCCCCGACCCTGACGCCTGCTGTATATTTTTGGAGTTTGTGCGTCTTTCCCCGTGGTCGCGTGGATTTTCCTCCGGGTCCTCCGGTTTTTTACCTCGACATTTAGAATCGACATCACCACGCGTTCAGAGTATTTCGCTGCCGCGGTACATTTCCACGTGGTGATGATGATGATGAGCCGCTTCTTTGAGCGATCATTTGTGGCCAGGTCGCTTCCGACAAAGGACTAACAGCTCAGCGGGGCTTCACCCTGGTAAAATTAAAAATAATAGTCTCGTTGAGTAGTTTTAGTGACGCCCTTGCTCGCTCTGTGTTCTGCCGGGCAGCGAAGTCCTGGACGGGAGGCAGCGGCCGGCGGAAAGGGGCCAAAGCGCCGGCACGGCAGCGCGGGGCGTGGTGGTGGCGGCCGCCGCTGGCGGCGTCGTCGGCGGCCCAGCGCGGGCGCCGCTCGGTGAGCGTGGAGCGCACCGTGGAGACGCTGGTGGTGGCCGACAAGCTCATGGTGGGCTTCCACGGGCGCCGGGACATTGAGGACTACCTGCTCACCATCATGAACATCGTAAGTTGGCGGCCGGGTGGCCCAGCGGGGGCCGTGGGGGCCGAGAGGGCCCCGGTTTAGACTTCCGAAGTTGATTGGTCTCAGCCCGGTCCGCTGTGACTTTCATATAGAGCTAGAGAGTGGCACAGAGACCCATAGACTAGTGTAGAGGACCCACAGACTGGCACAGAGACCCATAGACTAGTGTAGAGACCCATAGACTCATGCAGGACCCGGGAGGGGCCCGGCTGGGCTCTGCTGGCCGAGGGGCGACGCTGGAGTTCTCAGCAGCAGGTCCTCGGTCCTCCCGCGGCGGCGGTGGGGGTGGGGGGGGGCAAGCGGCAGAGAGGCCCCGAGGAGCGAGGTGCCGCTCGGCAGTAGCGTCGGGGGCGGCCACCGCGACCGTTTAAACCGGCAACCGCTCGCAGCGCTGGGAGGGGGCGCTGGCGGTCGCGAGGACGCGAGCGTCTGGCGGTCTCGCCACTCTCGAGCCGGTTCGGCGGCGGCTTAAAATGAAACCGGAGCCCTGGCGGCACCCGTGGGAACGAAAGTGCCGCGAGTTCGTTCGTTCGTTTCGTCGGTCGGCAACGCGGCGCCCCGCATGCGCACCTCCGAAGCTGACCGCGACAGGCGGCGCGGCCGGCCGGTTTGCCAAAGGTGAGCCCACCTGGTGGCTCGGCGCCAAACACCTGCGCAAGCTCGGGCTCGCTCCCGACGACGAGCGCACGGTGAGCACCGTGGGAGCGGTGCTCGGTTCTAGGCCAAAGGCACTGGGAGAGTGAGAGCAGAGAGAGCGAGAGAGACAGATGGAGGATGACGACCCAGAATGATTGAGCCACCTTGACCTCGGACGAGCTGCCCGGCACGCGCTGACCGGGCGAAATCGAGGGCCGCCCCCCCCTCTCCCCCCCCCCTCTCCCTTCCCCCCCGCGTGACCACCGTGCGTCGTCACGGCCCCTGTGGTGGAGGTGCCGCCATCATTCCCTGTGCAGCAGCTGGGAGTTGCCAAGCGTACACACGTGTGTGTGTGTGTCCACTGTGTGTCCTCGTGTGTGTCCACGTGTGTGTGTGTTCACGTGTATGTTCACGTGTGTGTCCACTGTGTGTCCACGTGTGTGTCCACGTGTGTGTGTGTTCACGTGTATGTTCACGTGTGTGTCCACTGTGTGTCCTCGTGTGTGTCCACGTGTGTGTGTGTTCACGTGTATGTTCACGTGTGTGTCCACTGTGTGTCCACGTGTGTGTCCACGTGTGTGTGTGTTCACGTGTATGTTCACGTGTGTGTCCACGTGTGTGTCCACGTGTGTGCCTTTGTCTTTTGTCCGTGCATGTGTGTCTGCGGGGAGTGGTGTTGTAGCAGTTAGAGCTCTTCAAACCCGGAGACCCGAGTTCAATTCCCGCTCATGGCCAACACCAGTGACGATTATCTGAACCGGTCTTGGGACTCCCGTAGGTCAACTCAGCCTCAAATGAGCACCTGTGGAGACAAAGGCGGTGGGGCATGGTGCTGGCCCACCCACCCCCTTGTGTGCCTTCAAAGCAGCGCTTGGCCACACGGGATCTTTGTCGTTGTGTGCGTCGGCAGACGGACGGTCGTGACGCCCAACTCGGAAGTGACTCGGCTTGTGTCTCCCCTCGCCTCTCCCACCCCGGCTCCCCACCTCCACTCTCCTCGCCCTCGACCTCCCCCGCCCCGCCTTCCCTCTCCCTTCCTCTACCCCGCCCCGATCCCCCTGGTCAACCCAAACCTGTTTTGTTTGGTGGAGGTCAGGTCGCCAAACTCTTCCACGATTCCAGCCTTGGCAATGCCGTGAGCATCATGGTCACTCGGCTGATCCTCCTCACGGAAGAGCAGGTGAGCGACGTCGCGTGCGCCTGCTGTTGCTGCTGCTGCTGCTGCTGTTGTTGCTGTGTCACCGCGTGTTAGCGTGACGCTGCAGACGATGCGCGTGAATCCGCGACGCACTCACGCGCGTGCATGCCGTGCAGCCGGCCCTCTGGGCAAAGCATTATGGGCAGTTCCCAAAGAAGTGCATTGTGGTCCCTCTTGCCTCAGGCTGCCGTCACGGTAAATGTGAGCACACGAGACCGACTTTCTGGGCAGTGGCAGTGATGCAGAGATAGACAAACACAGCCGGTCACAATTTGCTCAAATCAATTTTGACGGTGACCTGCGACAATGGGACCAGAATGAACTCGTTCAGGAATTGCCGCTGCCGTAGTTTTTGCTTAACGCACGGGCGGAGGCCGTTGTACACATCTCTACGCGTGTCTGTGTCCGCCGTCGCCGCCGCCATCGTTGCCCAAGACAGCGGTCGGTCAGCGCCGACGTCGCGTGCGTGGTGAGCGTGGCACACAGTGGCACATGTGGCGCACGTGTCCGCGAGAATGAGGTCAGTAGCACGCAGCCGTGCGCCAGACATGTGTTCGGTGTTAGCCAGGGCCCATTAAGGGCCCTCTGTGATCTGTTAAGTGCCTTCCTGTCTGTTTCCCCGCACAGCCCGGGCAAGCGTTTTACGGAACCCGTTTCCTACGCCGGTGCAGGCCGGGCGCCCGTCGGTGGCACGCCCCTCCGCTCGGGTCGCTGTCGCCCCGTGGGGTGGCCGCTCCGTAAGCGTTGCCGTGGCACCCCCACCGCTCTCCGTAGTAACGGCAATAACGGAGCGCGCGCGGTATCGGCGCCGTCATTGCGATAGCGCGCGGCTGTCGTCACGAAAGAAGGCGCTGCTGCGGTTCGCAGAAGGGTCGAGCCTGGCGGTAGGGAGCGACGTCGCCGCTGTAAAGCCGGCGGCGGCAGTGATGGTCACCACGGGGCCTTCGCAGGCCGGAGCGCCCACCATACGGTTTGCCCGCGGTGCATGTTACAGATCGATGTGATTCTGTATGTCTCTGTGCGAGTCTGCACCATCTGCGAGTCTCCGTGTGAGTCTATGGGATGGGGAGGCAGTCGGTTTCAGGCCAAGAACACAGCACGGAGCATTGGGTTTGGCCTTGGCCCGGGCCAGGAGTCCTCTGCTGGCCGGCGATGTCACCTCCGTGTTGTTGCCAACGTGCGATGCAATCTTCTCCCCCCGGCGACTCTTGTTATTCTTGGGAAACTTGGGGCCCCGTTTCACCTGGGCTTTCACAATAGCTGACGCATCCCCCGCCGCTCTCTCTCAGGGTAATTTGGTTTTAATTATCACGCGTTTCTTGCGTTGCCTAACAGGTCTCAGGGTTTAACTGTTTATCCAGGTGAGAGCTCCTATCCTGCTCAAGAGAGCAGGCCAGGAGTCTTGTTCTCACGGGTGACCCAGGGCACGAGTCTGCTGCCAGTACTGCCGTGCTGTGCTCGTGAGATGTTTCCAGCCGATTAACGATGAGTTGTGTTTATGATTTTACCATGTGTGGGAGGAAAAACCGGAGCTCCCAGAGAAAACCCACGCCTTGCGCAAGGGGGCAATGCTCTATCCCCCGCGCGCAGACTGTATCAGATGGCGATCGAGTAATTCGATCGATCAAATCGATGACGATCTTCTGTGGGGGAGCGCTCCGAGGTGGGGGACGAGCCACGACCACTCCTCGTGTCGCCGCGCGTCTGTCTGCTCGTGTGAGCTCCGGCAGAGTCGCTGCATTATGTTTGAAGCCGCTCCGGGAACCCATCCGGGAACCGATCTGGGAATCTTCCGGGAACTGATCCAGGAGCCGCTCTGGGAACCGATCTGGGAACCGATCTGGGAACTGATCTGGGAACTGATCTGGGAACCGATCTGGGAACCGATCTGGGAACCGATCTGGGAACCGATCTGGGAACCGATCTGGGAACCGATCTGGGAACCGATCTGGGAACTGATCTGGGAACCGATCCCGGAATTGCTCCGGGAACCACTCTGGAAACCGCTACGGGAGCTGCTACAGGAACTGCTCCTGGAACCCATCCGGCAACCCATCCAGGAACGGCTCTGGGAAGTGATGCGGGAAGCGAGTTGGCGCTCGGGGACCGCTGTAAAAAACAACAAACACGGCTGTCCCCCCACATGTGGCAGTCGTGGGGCTTAAAGTCTGCACTGACCCCACCTCAGCTCTAACATTCTAAGGACAAACCCAGCTGGACGAAGAGGGCTGATGCTGGGAAAACCTGAACAGGTGGCAACTCTGGCTGTGATGGTGGCGGTGTTGGCAGTGTTGTCGGCTGCGATGATGGTGGCAGCGGCGGCGGTGGTGGTGGTTTGCGATAGAGGAGGCGGTGGCAGCAGTCCACGGTCTGGCTGCCCACGTGGCTGACCATGCGGCGACCGCGTGGATGCCCGCGTGGGCCGAGTGGGCCATTGCGGGTCCGCGGCCTGGACGCTCTGCGTATCTCGCGTCCCTCGCCGTCATCGCGCGGTCCAACCTTCCAGGGGCCCGGCCGAGCGGACGAGGGCACGCGGACGATCGAGCGAGCCTAGGACAGCTTGAGCTGACGGACGAGCGAGCAGCGGACAAGCGAGCGAGCGTTGGACTCTGGGGTCCCGTCCACCGCGTGAGTGGAAGAATGCCGGCCGTGTTCCGCTCCGGTGACGCGCCACATTCCGCCCTTAAAATAACCACGTGCGCCGATCGCAGCCCCCTTAACGCCCTCCCATTGGGGCCATGGTAACGGCAAGCTGGGGGACCGTGGCCTTCAAGCGCTCCTGAAAAAAACCAAGGGACCCACTCTGCCAGCGTACCATCCGGGGGGGGGGGGGTTCGGTGGTGGTTTGGAAGTAACTCCGGATGGAATTTACCTTGTCTCACCCGCCCCACCCACCCCACATCGTCCTCTTGCGTCTCATGGACACGCCCTCATCACGCTGGGAAATCATTCAGGAGGCAGCGCGATGGCGACACTCCACACCTCAAGGCGAAAAGTCCCCGGGTTCGCCTCCCGATCCAGGCGCCCCTCTCTCTGAGTGGGGTCCGTGTGTTGTGTGTCTCTGAGTGGGGTCCGTGTGTTTGTGTATCTCTGAGTGGGGTCCGTGTGTTGTGTGTCTCTGAGTGGGAATCCGTGTGTTGTGTGTCTCTGAGTGGGTCCGTGTGTTGTGTGTCTCTGAGTGGGGTCCGTGTGTTGTGTGTCTCTGAGTGGGGTCAGTGTGTTGTGTGTCTCTGAGTGGGGTTCGTTGTTGTGTGTCTCTGAGTGGGGTCTATGGGTGTTGTGTGTCTCTGAGCGAGGTCCGTGTTGTTTGTGTCTCTGAGTGGGGTCCGAGTGTTGCGTGTCTCTGAGTGGGGTCCGTGTGTTGTGTGTCTCTGAGTGGGGTCGTGTGTTGTGTGTCTCTGAGTGGGGTCCGTGTGTTGTGTGTCTCTGAGTGAGGTCCGTGTGTTTGTGGTCTCTGAGTGGGGGTCCGTGTGTTCGTGTCTCTGAGTGAGGTCCGTGTGTTGTGTGTCTCTGAGTGAGGTCCGTGTGTTGCGTGTCTCTGAGTGAGGTCCGTGTGTTGTGTGCTCTGAGTGGGGTCCGGTGTTGTGTGTCTCTGAGTGAGGTCCGTGTGTTTGTCTCTCTGAATGGGGTCCGTGTGTTGTGTGTCTCTGAGTGAGGTCGTGTGTTGTGGTCTCTCTGAGTGGGGTCCGTGTGTTGTGTGTCTCTGAGCGAGGTCCGTGTGTTGTGTGTCTCTGAGTGAGGTCCGTGTGTTGCGTGTCCTCTGAGTGGGGTCAGTGTGTTGTGTGTCTCTGAGTGGGGCCGTGTGTGGTTGTGGTTGTCTCTGAGGTGGGGTTCGTTGTGTTGTGTGTCTCTGAGTGGGGTCCGTGTGTTGTGTGTCTCTGAGTGGGGTCCGTGTGTTGTGTGTCTCTGAGTGGGGTCCGTGTGTTGTGTGTCTCTGAGTGGGGTCCGTGTGTTGTGTGTCTCTGAGTGGGGTCCGTGTGTTGTGTGCTCTGAGTGGGGTCCGTGTGTTGTGTGTCTCTGAGTGAGGTCCGTGTGTTGTGTCTCTCTGAGTGGGGTTCGTGTGTTGTGTGTCTCTGAGCGGGGTCGTGTGTTGTGTGTCTCTGAGTGAGGTCCGTGTGTTGTGTCTTTCTGAGTGGGGTCCGTGTGTTGTGCGTCTCTGAGTGGGGATCGTGTGTTGTGTGTCTCTGAGTGGGGTTCGTGTGTTGTGTGTCTCTGAGTGGGGTCCGTGTGTGTGTGTGTCTCTGAGTGGGGTCAGTTTGGCGTGTCTCTGAGTGGGGTCCGTGTGTTGTGTGTCTCCGAGTTCGGTCCGTGTGTTGTGTGTCTCTGAGTGGGGTCCGTGTGTTGGTGTCTCAGTGGGTTCCGTGTGTTGTGTGTCTCTGAGTGAGGTCCGTGTTTTGTGTCTCTGAATGAGGTCCGTGTGTTGTGTTGGCTCTGAGTGGGGTCCGTGGTGTTGTGTGTCTCTGATGGGGTTCGTGTGTTGTGTGTCTCTGAGTGGGGTTCCGTGTTGTTTGTGTGTCTCTGAGTGGGGTCCGTGTGTTGTGTGTCTCTGAGTGGGGGTCCGTGTGTTGTGGTGTCTCTGAGTGGGGTCCGTGTGTTTGTGTTTCTGGTGGGGTCCAGTGTGTTGTGTGTCTCTGAGTGGGGTTCGTGTGTTGTGTGGTCTCTGAGTGGGGTCAGTGTGTGTTGTGTCTCTGAGTGAGTTCCCGTGTGTTGTGTGGTCTCTGAGTGGGGGTCCGAGTGTTGCGTGTCTCTGAGTGGGGTCCGTGTGTTGTGTGTCTCTGAGTGGGGTTAGTGTGTTGTGTGTCTCTGAGTGGGGTCCGTGTGTTGTGTGTCTCTGAGTGAGGTCCGTGTGTTGTGTGTCTCTGAGTGGGGTCCGTGTGTTGCGTGTCTCTGAGTGAGGTCCGGTGTTGTGTGTCTCTGAGTGAGGTCCGTGTGTTGCGTGTCTCTGAGTGAGGTCCGTGTGTTGTGTGTCTCTGAGTGGGGTCCGTGTGTTGTGTGTCTCTGAGTGAGGTCCGTGTGTTGTCTCTCTGAGTGGGGTCGTGTGTTGTGTGTCTCTGAGTGAGGTCCGTGTGTTGTGTCTCTCTGAGTGGGATCCGTGTGTTGTGTGTCTCTGAGCGAGGTGTGTGTGTTGTGTCTCTGAGTGAGGTCCGTGTGTGCGTGTCTCTGAGTGGGGTCAGTGTTGTGTGTCTGAGTGGGGTCCGTGTGTGTGTGTGTCTCTGAGTGGGGTGTTTGTGTGGTGTCTCTGAGGGGTCCGTGTGTTGTGTGTCTTGAGTGGGGTCCGTGTGTTGTGTGTCTCTGAGTGGGGTCGTGTGTGTGTCTCTGAGTGGGGTCCGTGTGTTGTGTGTCTCTGAGTGGGGTCCGTGTGTTGTGTGTCTCTGAGTGGGGTCCGTGTGTTGTTGTGTCTCTGATGAGGTCCGTTGTTGTGTCTCTCTGAAGTGAGGTCCGTGGTTGTGGCTCTCTGAGTGGAGTTCGTGTGTTGTGTTCTCTGAGCGGGTGTCCGTGTGTTGGTGTCTCTGAGTGAGGTCCGTGTGTTGTGGTCTTCTGAGTGGGGTCCGTGTGTTGTGCGTCTCTGAGTGGGGTTCGTGGTTGTGTCGTCTCTGAGTGGGGTTCGTGTGTTGTGTTCTCTGAGTGGGGTCCGTGTGTTGTGTGTCTCTGAGTGGGGTCAGTTTGGCGTGTCTCTGAGTGGGGTCCGTGTGTTGGTGTGTCTCCGAGTTCGGGTCCGTGTGTTGTGTGTCTCTGAGTGG